AACCCAAACCCAAACCCAAACCCTATATACATCGAAGCATTTTTTTCAATTAACATTTGATATTATAATATTCTATGAATTTATCTTAAAATTTAATAAAGGAACTTCTCCAGGAATAAATCTTGATTAGTAAAATCAAAAAGTTTAGAACAAAAGTTAAAAACTCCTCAACCTAAACAAAAGAATCCTTAATTTGCTGTAATATAATAATAAATTTTTGCTTTCATATAATTGTTATCAGAAAATAATTTTTAAATTTAATACATATAAATATAATTTATCAGTTTGGGAGATAAAATATGCCCATTTATCTCCCAAACTGATAAATTATGTTTATATGTATTATTTTTAAAATTATTTTCTGATAACAACTATATTAATTATTAATTATAAATTAAATACTGCAAAAAAATTTGAGGAAAATACTATATCATATAAACGCATTTACATTAGGATTATTAAAAAAACTATCCTTATTAAAGTTTAATTGAATTTCTTTCTTTATTTTAGAGCTTTAATTTTGATATAATATTTACTCTTCACTTAATAATTCATAATAATATAAAAAGTTTGAACATCTATATGTATTAAATATGTATAAACAATTCTAATTTTATTTATAATTTCTTTGAAGAAAAAAAAAAGTTGTCAAGCTAGATTTGTTTTAATTTATTATATTGTTAATACAAGATAAATGGTTAAAGGAATACTTTTTGTAAATTTGGAATAGAATTGAAAAAAAAGATAAATTAATTGATATATTTGATAAAAATATGATATAATTAATAAAATCAAATCAAAGTTTTACCAAAAACATGAAAAATTGTAAAAGATTTAAATGCAAAAGATAATCTAAAATTAACAAAAAAAAATGTACTTATATCACACCTTAATATATTTTAGAATTATTTGCAGACATTCTTGACTTACATTTTATTTAGCTAAAGAGAAATAAGAAAAGTTTGATAAAATTATTCAATATAAAAGTTAAAATATAAAATGTTTCCAAAAATGTGATTACTAAACTTTAATTGTTTAATTTAATTTATTCTTAATATCTACAAAATATTTTAGGTCTTGTTATATATGTTTTCTTATCATAAGTCCGTATATTTCAATCTTAGAATGACAGAGTATTAAGTTAGTAATATAATGAAATTGTGAATTTTGAATAGTTATTAATTATCATGAAAAAATATATTATATACTCTTAAATTTCTTAAACTTTATAGAATTTATTAACTTGATAAATAAAATTGGTTTGATTTAAATTTTTAATATGCATCTATTCTTTTTCATAAAGGCTTTATCAAACTTTGATTAAAGAGGCCATAATTTAGTTGCTTTACATTGTCATATTAGAATGGAATAACAAAATATATAAACATCTGATTTAAGATTTGAATTGAAATGATGTCGGTTCCTTTTCATTTAATTTAATTTGTTTATAAAAAAATATGTATTATACTTTTTAAAAATGTTACTTATGTATCAATTAAATAGAATTTGGAATAATTTTATATAATTTATCTTGTTTACTATTTATGAAATTTTGCCTCTAATAATAATAAGATATATAAATAATAAATTTTTTTTCAATCAATATGAATTAAATATTTTGATGGTGAAATTTTATTTTAATGTTGGAATTAAAATAAAAAAGTGGCAGCACATTTATCAATGAAGATCATTAAGCATTACAAAAGAGATGCTTAATCTGATTTTTTAGCAATGAATTTTTTAGAAACTCTGTTAAATTAGAAACTAATAAAGTGTCATATTGAAAATACATATATATGGAATAAAAGAAAATAATAAAGACTATTTTTATTTAAATTATGTAAAGCAACAATTATAAATATAAAAAATTAAGTGTATAATTGACGATAAGATAATTTTTGCTTGAATTGCATAATGTTAAGTCTGATTATAAGGTTCTCTTTAATGAAGATTTAAAAAAACAATCCATTTAACAATTACAAAATATCTGTATTTATATAATGATAATGAATAGAATGGTAAGATTTGGATCCAAAGTTTAAGAAAATTTTGATAAACGTACCTTATATTATTTGAAAGAAGTCAATAATTAATGACCTAAATGTGTATTTATTTCATAAGCTTTTATTTGTCATATATATATTTAATGATGGATAAAAAATCAGAAAAATATGTATCATGCATTTTGATTGAGAATGAAACATTAGGATTATCATTTGTTAAGCATGGAGACTAAAATATATATCACTTTTTGCAATTAAGTATTGCCACTTCATATTGTCTAAGAATATTTGAAAGAATGAAATATTGAATAAACTAAACAAATTATTCAAGTTTAATCATTCTTATACTATTAATCAATCAATTTATATTATTTCTCATTTACATATTATTCTCCTTATTAAATTATCTATATAATATTTATATGGTATATTGAAGATAAGTCATATAAATTATTATTAATTAAAGTATTTAGCATCTAAAAATTTTTAAGCATTTATTCTGTCTTTGAAATAAAAGGTTTTATTTATTTTGATTAACTTATAAATGGAGAAATTTTTCTATTTACATAGATTGTTTATAAATGGTTATTATATTTTGGTGTTTTTGTAAATACAGATGAAAAAGTTATCTACATAGAAGCACATAAGATAATTACTATGAAAGAAATAGGTGGCCGTAGCATTCTAATAATAAACTTATTAAAATTAATAAGTTTATTTATTCATTATTCTAAAAAATATTCTTTATCAGATGTTTCAAGTCAGAGAGTAAAAATTACAAAAATGAATTTTTTAGTAGATATTTGTTATTTAATATGAATTATCGACTATAAAATTCAATTTAGACCTAAATAATTGTTTATATAAATATAGAAATTCATATCTTTATTGTGAGAAGTAGGACAAAAATATTGATTTTTATAATTAATTTTGATCAAATAAACTATAATTTTTATTTTTACTAACTAATTATTATTATAAAAATTAGTATAAAATTAAGTTTATAAATTATATTGAAAACATAAATATAAAATATATGGAATAATTATGCCTAATTAAATAATCTTATTCATTTCATTATGTCTATAATGATAAATGCAGGAAATTATTTAATTATTAGAGTCTATACTATACTTAAGGAGTTTGATTGCTTAAATTAAAAATTGAGCTATATTTTATAAAATATAGATTCTCCACACACATCATAACTATTCTTATTGAAATTCTTGAAAAGCATTATTTAATATCTTATAATGCAATCCCCTCTTTAAACACTTGACAGTTTAGACTAAACAAAAGCTTACTAAATGCCTGATTATATAGATAGTTAAAAAAATGCAAGTTGTTTGGATATTTTGGGCACTTAGACTGGAGTTTACATTTAATAAAAATTTGAAAAATTCTAGATGGGATTAAATATATTTAAAGTTTACGCATCCAATTAATTAGGAGAAGAAATCAAATTTAAGTAACTATTCAAATGCAAGGAGATATCTTCTAATTGTACAAGATTTTGGTTGGGGTACTTCTTTCAATTTATTTAGTCCAAAAACAAGGCCATTTGAGATGATAGTAGATAACTCTCAAAGTAAAGATTTATAGCCAAACATAAATAACAAATTGCCTTAAAGTTCTGATCGAACCATATTTAAGTTTAAAAGAGAGTACTAATGTACTTGTTGCTGTTGTAATAGGTATAAATATTTATAAATATTAATTTTAGACCTCGTCTTGAGGTTTATTATGTAGAAAATGGTTAATACTAATTTTTAGGATACATTATTGATCCTATTTATTGTTGCCGAATCGGTTGCAATATTTTTGATTCTAATGACAATTTGAAATACATGATAGAGGCGAGCGCTTGCCAAAGTTATTTTTGGTGTAGGTGTCCATGCAGTGTGGAATGTAATAAGGTTGATTTTACAATCAAGCTTCCAACAGGTGAGGTAGGTATTCTATATAATCTTATATTTAAGTTGCTCCTATGTTAAAGTAAGTTAAGACATGGTGTAATAGTGATTCGACTTCCTATACTGATAATATAAGTGTGATGTTCCCTTTGAAAGCATCAAAAGAAGATAAAGCTTTAATTCTAGCAGCTACAATTATGATTGAGTTCATGTATTTTGAAAGGGGTTAAGATACATGAATTATTGCAAAAACAAATATAATATCAAATTAGATTAAATTTTATAATTTTCTCAATTATTCATAGAGAAGTGTTTAAAGGTTGTTAATGAAGAAAGTATATTTGAAATAATTGGTATATGGTTGACAAATAGAAACATCAAACTTAAATTTCTCAAGATATTTCTTCTTTATATATATTTATAGAAGGGTTTATAGATTAATGAATATCCAATTACATATTTACTTGAATAGAGTGATAAGGGTTAGTCAAGAATATTCAGTTATATATTAAAACTATCAAGACCTTCTTGGACTGCTTTACTATGAGTCAAAATGAATCCCAAAGAAAATTTTAAGAAGTAACAGAACTGAAAAATAATTTGATATATTCTTCATCTAAGTGCTGAAGAAGCCTTTTTCTTTTAAACTAAGCATATTGAATTAGTTAAATAGATTTTTCCGAATTATATTCTCATTTACACACAATATTTTTTATAAAGAAATTTGTAAATTAATTTATACTTAAAAAACAAAAATAAATTTTTTTATTTAATTTATAAATAATTTTTGAAGAACAGTTTTAATTTATGTTTTGACTTTCCACAAGATTATCCGATTGTCTTTTTATAGAGAGCTATAGATATTAAGAAACCCTTTTAGTTATGGTTATGGTTGGATAGTCATTTATTCAGTGTAAATTTATAAATAGAAATTACTTTTGAAAATATATTAATAATTTGAACAGATACATTTATGATAGTTTTAATACAGCGATGCCTAAGAAGATTTATATTTTTGAGAGCTTGTTAAGGTTATTAGTCAATATAATCTATTTGATTTTTGAGACAAAGATAATGTTTTGCATTAAGAAAATAAAATTTTAAGCCCATCACTAATTTCATTTGATTTTCATTGCTTAATGCTCTGATAATACCTTTACTGATAATGATTGATTATATTGATAGTACTTTTTTAAGGAATATAAAATGAAAATTATAATTTAAAGATTTGGTTAACCTTCAATGTTATTGCCTCAATAAAAAAGTTAAGAGACTATTATGGCATAAGATGAAAGTAAATGTTTATAATAAAAATTTCTATAATAATTTTTGCACTTATGTTTTAAATATTAAATAGGTTAATTAATCCTATCTAATTTTTAACTAATCTTGAAACATAACTAATTTAACAATCTATAGAGAATTAATTTGATTTTTTATATCAAATTATTAAGAATAAAAATTATATTCCTTTACTTGACAGCTAAATCTTTTTTATATACTAGATTTTGACTAACTTGAATCAGCACTTATTATATTAGGTTGAATCATTTTCACTAATCATTAAATTTCTTTTAGGCATTAATAAACATATTAAAAAGATTCTGGAATGTTATCTCTAAGTAAAACTATCTAATTTAACAGATGAATTATTGTTAAAATTTGATTATTAAGGAATAAAATATTTATTGAAATTATAATTTATTAAAGATTTTTAAATCTTTATTGATCGTATTTCCCTATTTTAAGTTGAATCAAATGGAATGAGATTATTGAACTATAATATACTATTATAATTATTAAATCCATTCATCTTTATGAACAATTTTTGATTTATAAGCTAATTATGTCTATCTTTTCTGAATCCTTTTGATGCTCTTTGTCCATAGATAATAATAAAAAACATTAAAATCCTTAGCTTCAATTCATTCGTCTTTATTGTTATTAGCAAGTATATTTAATTATTCCAAAACTTTATGCTTTGAATAATCAGAATGGAATGAAAAAAAATAATAGTCTAAATAATCACCATAGCTATAATTTTTATACAGCAGGAAATTAAGAAATAGGGTTAATATGCTGGAATTAGGTTCATTAAGTCTTGACCAAATAATACTCAAATAGAAGTTATACATATATTAGCCTGACTTCATCAATTTAACAATTCTTTGAAATTTTATTCCTATTCCAAAACTAAGATAAGATTTTGATAAGCATACTTGAAAACTATTTTCAATCCATCTGGAATTCCTGACTCTTGCAACTTTGATCAAAATTTCATAATCTTTCAATAAAGAATTTTTAATATTTTGATTGCTTAATATTTTATTCGTATATATATTATTATGAAATAATATAGTTGAGTTACACTTAACCCTAATAAATAAAAATACTAACTAATATATTCAAATAAGAATTAAAAATAAAAAAAAATTCTATTTCAATAAAAAGATTGATATTAATATGCAATACATCTCTTACATAATTTTAATAATCAATCATCATATTTTATTACATCTACTTTTCTAAAATCTTAGTCATATTCACCTCTTTTTTTTTTAATCCAGATACCTATTTTTTAACCACGCCTAAATTCTCCTTCGTAAATAGTTTAGAATGTATCTGTAAAAGAATCGTCCAACTCTATCCATTTACCAATCTTAATCATATCACCTTCTTCATCATATGATCCACCGCCACTAAATTAGTTATACATNCTTGACAGCTAAATCTTTTTTATATACTAGATTTTGACTAACTTGAATCAGCACTTATTATATTAGGTTGAATCATTTTCACTAATCATTAAATTTCTTTTAGGCATTAATAAACATATTAAAAAGATTCTGGAATGTTATCTCTAAGTAAAACTATCTAATTTAACAGATGAATTATTGTTAAAATTTGATTATTAAGGAATAAAATATTTATTGAAATTATAATTTATTAAAGATTTTTAAATCTTTATTGATCGTATTTCCCTATTTTAAGTTGAATCAAATGGAATGAGATTATTGAACTATAATATACTATTATAATTATTAAATCCATTCATCTTTATGAACAATTTTTGATTTATAAGCTAATTATGTCTATCTTTTCTGAATCCTTTTGATGCTCTTTGTCCATAGATAATAATAAAAAACATTAAAATCCTTAGCTTCAATTCATTCGTCTTTATTGTTATTAGCAAGTATATTTAATTATTCCAAAACTTTATGCTTTGAATAATCAGAATGGAATGAAAAAAAATAATAGTCTAAATAATCACCATAGCTATAATTTTTATACAGCAGGAAATTAAGAAATAGGGTTAATATGCTGGAATTAGGTTCATTAAGTCTTGACCAAATAATACTCAAATAGAAGTTATACATATATTAGCCTGACTTCATCAATTTAACAATTCTTTGAAATTTTATTCCTATTCCAAAACTAAGATAAGATTTTGATAAGCATACTTGAAAACTATTTTCAATCCATCTGGAATTCCTGACTCTTGCAACTTTGATCAAAATTTCATAATCTTTCAATAAAGAATTTTTAATATTTTGATTGCTTAATATTTTATTCGTATATATATTATTATGAAATAATATAGTTGAGTTACACTTAACCCTAATAAATAAAAATACTAACTAATATATTCAAATAAGAATTAAAAATAAAAAAAAATTCTATTTCAATAAAAAGATTGATATTAATATGCAATACATCTCTTACATAATTTTAATAATCAATCATCATATTTTATTACATCTACTTTTCTAAAATCTTAGTCATATTCACCTCTTTTTTTTTTAATCCAGATACCTATTTTTTAACCACGCCTAAATTCTCCTTCGTAAATAGTTTAGAATGTATCTGTAAAAGAATCGTCCAACTCTATCCATTTACCAATCTTAATCATATCACCTTCTTCATCATATGATCCACCGCCACTAAATTAGTTATACATAATAGTTTATATACATCTTCTCTGCTTCATACTATATCTCCCATAAACCTATTTTTTTGTTATTCTTATACTCCCCTATATAAGTGACTTAGGAAATATCTCTAAATTTATGATTTAATTCAGTCCATTTCCCAATCTTACATTCATTACCTAATTCATCATATGACCCACCACCACTAAAAATTTTTAATCCTTCTTACATCTTTTCATTTTATAGATTATCATAATTTTTCTGATACTTAATATCCCATCTACCAACCTTTTTACCACACCGATAATCCCCATGATAAGTAACTTATGAAAAATCATCAAATTCGTCACTTATCTCAATCCATCTCCCAATCTTACACTCATTACCACTCTCATCATATAAACCACCACCACTAAATATTTCAAAGTATATTTAAACAATATTATCTTACATATTTTTATTACTTTTTTAATGATGCCATTAAATATCCCATCGACCAACTTTCTTACCATTTTTATATTAACCATCACAAGTGAATTAAGAAGTGTTTCTAAATTCGTTACTTAACTCAATCCATCTTCCAATCTTACACTCATTCCCCGCTTCATCATATTATCCACAACCACTAAATAGAATAATATTTTAATATCCATCCTTACAATACTGTATATTACATCGGCTTGTCTCCTCTCTTAAACATGTTCCAACTACCAACTTTTTTTCCCCCTTTATACTCACCAGTATATATGAAGTTCAATTAGTCGTAACCATAACCAAAATCGTCACACAAATCAACCCATTGGCCAAACTTTATCCCTTCTTCATCATACTATCCACCTCCACTAAAATTGTATAGGTATCTAATATTATAAATTTACATCTATTATTATTCCTATTATAAATTCAATTTAATATCCCATCTACCCACTTTAGTCCCATTTTTATAATCACCAAGATAGGTTACTTTTGATAAATTATTAAATTAGTCGCTTAACTCGGTCCATCTCCCAATCTTACATCCATTACCACTTTCATCATAATATCCACCACCACTAAAACATTTGATACAATATTTTATGATATCATTACATCTAATCTTAACAACAAAAAATATCCCATCTACCAACTTTCTTACCATTTTCATATTCACCTCTATACGTGACTTACGAACGTGCTTTAAATAACTCCGATGATTCAATCCATTTTCCAGTTTTATATCCATCACCATTCTAATCATATAATCCGCCGCCACTAGACAAATGAACATAAATATTAATAAAATAATTCTACATTTTTTTTCCAGAATACAAAACATCCCATCTACCAATCTATTTACCATTTTGATATTCACCATTATACGTGATTTCAGATCCTTCAGTAAACCCTTCACTCACCTCAATCCATCCATTAATCTTGACTTCATCTCCTGATTCATCATACGATCCCCCTCCACTTATATATTTCATATTTTAATTACATCTTTTAATTATTTCCATAATAATTCCAATAAATATTCCATCGACCAACTTTCTTACCATTTTTATATTAACCATCACAAGTGATTTAAGAAGTCCTTCTAAATTCGTTACTTAACTCAATCCATCTCCCATTTTTATAACCCCGACCAGTTTCATTATATAATCCGCCACCACTAAAATATTCCGCATAATATTTAATAATAATTTTACATTATATTAGGTTTGTTCTCATAATAATCTTGAAAATAAATATCCCATATACCAACTTTTTAACCATTAGTATATTCACCATCATAAATGACTTGAGATTTCTCATGAAACCCATCACTTAATTCTCTCCATTTTCCATTTTTTTAACCTTGTTCATTGTATTATCCACCTTTACTATTAATTAATAAAATAAATACAATTTTTTTTTATTGTAAATATACATCCAAGCCCCTCTTTTCTTACCATTTATATAATCTCCAACTTCATATACCTATGCTTTGCTATTTATAATTATCATTTAATTAGTATTTACTTCCAATAATTCTTAATTGGTTCTTTCCATAGCCCATACTTTAATCCATTTGAGTAGTACCCACCAACATCTTAAAGAACGTTTCCATTCCATTTAGCTATCCACTTACCTATTTTTTTATTTTTTTACTCAAATTCACCTTACCATTAAAAGTATTCTACTTATTCTATATTTGTGAATATTTATTGGACCTTGAAATCTTCTTAAATTGATTCACTTTCAAAGGTAATAAATAGTCATTTACATTCTCAATAATCTTCCATTACAAAAGTACATGATTTAATTATCTTATGTAATTTTAATCACAATTTAAGTCTTTATCAATCTCTACTATCTTTCATCCCACTTTTCTAGCAAAATATTTTTGAAGACTGGTTTCTAAGTTGTTGACTTTGATGATATAGATTTGTTTAACATTTATGGATTCATCTTTAAAGTTAATTAATTGAATTTCCATCATTAAGCTATTTAAGTATTTTCAAAAGTGTACAGAATTTCAGAAGAAATTTTATTATGAATCTGAATTGGGAATTTTATCCTGTATTTTTGAAATTAGGATCAAAAGAAGTTGTTTTTTTTCAATCAAATGACCTTGTTTCTTCAATCTCAATAATCTAATCTATTTCACAGAGGAATTACTTTTTTATAAATTTTAGCATCTTTTTTTATTATTAATTCATTCAAATAGTTATTTTCATAAAACATTATAGACTTCTAAAGTACTAAAAGTTCTGTATCATATAAAAAATTACAATAAATAACTTAACTGAAGAGAAATCAAGAATTAACTTTACAAGTTTTTTTTTGAAGAAACATAAAAAGGAAAATTTTGAAATTCAAAATCAATTTTTTATGACTCATAAATAAATTTCTTTTGTAGTTAGCATGAATCTTAAAAGCTTTAAAGAGAATGAATATTTCTTTTAAATTGCTGCCCATAGATTGATAGAGTATTATGAAAAATCAATTTCCTATAAGCAAAACAAATTGATTAGGTTATGATCAATCAAAAATTTCTCAAATATTGGATATAATAAATTTTTCATTCATTTTTCTAAAACAGCTTTTATTTATGAATTCTTTTAATTGAAAACAACCTTTAAGCATTGAAAAAAAAGCTCGTGTTAGAAAATCAGAAGGGAAAGATGATAAAACTTTAGAAAGTAAGGATAAAGCAAAGAAGTCTTGTATAAAAAATGTATATATAACTTTAAACTAATGCTGATTGTTTGCTATGAGTAATTTGTTAAGAGGATAGAAAGAATAGAATTAATTCTGAAACGTTGATAAGAAAAAAATACCTAAAAATATCAGATGAAAAAGATTCAGAAAATGGCATCAGTCCTTCTGAATTATTAAAATAAGACAAAAAATAGCCCTATAGATTTTTCCTAAATAAAGCATCTAATATGCTCTTCAGCCTAAATACTTAATGAGGATTATCAACTGTTATCATATTTTTAATTAATTGACAGCATAGAAGCAAATTGTAGTTTCCTTTTAAAAATTAATATTGAAGAATAACTAAATTTAAGCAAATTAGATAATAATTATCATTAAAGAGATTTATGTTGGTCAACAGTGGTTTCTCTTTTTTTCTTGTAAATAATTTATCATTCTCATTATTCTAAGAAATTCTTGAAAAAATTATAAAAACCATAAATGTCAATTAAAAAAATGAGCTATATAAACAGAATGAATTTCATATAATAACATATTAAAAAAATGTATAAAATTGATATATAAAATATAATAATCATTAATTATGATCAACTATTTTCTTTTATCCTCATTTTATTCTTTAAATCTTTATCAGAAATTAGTTAATTTTTATTCTACATCTGCTTTACCAATCTTTAAATAATTTGGGTCAATTAGAATATGAATTATCTCAGGTTATAATAATTATCAGTGATCAATTATTGTCTTTTATAATTTAAAGGCACCAAAATCTATGATTAATTATAGGTTGTAGGGAACCGAATTTGAGGGAAGAATAAAAAATGTTAATCCTATATATGCTTTACAATAAGAACTTTTGATTTGATGCATGTTCAGCACAACTATTTTAAGATGTTCTTCAACATAAATGGAAAACAAATAAATTACAATTAATAAATCATAATAATAACTTATTTGAGCCTAATAAAGTAAAACTAAATTATCCTAATCATAAGAGAGCAACTATTTAATTTTTAGATTTAGAAAACCAAATATTTAAGATAGAAACAAATTAAATCTCAAATTTAGAGAAACTATATCATTCTTCAATCTAAATAAATTTATATTGATTATAACACGCATAAGAAATATTATATTTATTTAAATATCTCCCAAAATTTTATGAAGATTTAAAGTTGTAGATTAGTATTTATTTAACTTTACAATACTTAATTATTGAATAATATATCGTTAGCTTTTGGAATAATTAAAAATGATCAAATTAGTTCTTATCCATTAGCTACTACAAAAAATAGAGTATTACAGATATTAGAGTTAAATTAACAATCACAAGGATTTGATATATCAGTAGCTTATTTTCCAAATATTAGTATAGTTTTCAAGTGGGAATACAAAAGATACAATAATTTCAATATTCAAAGGCATCTATAAAAACACTCGAAATTTTGGTCCATAAACTTCTTTAAAATTAAATTTATAGTTATGATTATAGTTTAAGAATCCATTATAAGAGTTATCTCATCTAATTGATATAGTAAGCTCATTCCTAAAACAATTTGAAATTTGGGTTCCTTCTAGTTTTTTAGTATAACACATTTTTGTTCTTTAAATTACCCAAAAAGAACTTAATTAAATTGATATCTTTTATTATTTTTGATGAAAAAATAAAGCCAGCCATTAAATAATAAACATAGAATTTCTCATTTCAGATAGAAATTTAATAGATGATGAACAAAAAACTTTTTTTTATTTTATTTGTTTTAATTTACTCATTAATTGATTTATATTTTTAATATCTAATTTTAAATCAGTATTGTTTTCTTTTCACTTTACATTAATTGATATGAAATTTATAAAATCAAAAGTATAAAGTATATTTCCAGTTAAGACAAAGGCAAAATGAATTGAAATTTAACAAAAATATTATTTATTAATAACAATTTAATAGAATGTCGAATTATTAAACAATTTCTTAAAAAGCCAGCTGAAATAATTTTGCGAATATATAATTTTTCTTTACAATATTCACTTTTAAATTTCATCTTGTGAAAATTCTGTTTAGCTATCCAAAATACAACCTCCTTTTTATTGAAATAAGGTTTTTAAATCTATACCTTAATAATTTAGATATTCTCCTTAAAAAATGAAGGCTCCTTATACTGTAAAAATTGGTTATTGGGATATTATGAGAATAGTGATGTTAGTGGAAACTGAATAATATTCAAAATAAATACCATATTTTGAAAGACAATTTTTATTAAATAAGGCTTTTTTAAATTATGCCAAAATATCTTAATAACTTTTATCCAAGTATTCTATTTCTTTTCATGTTTTAATACTCCATAAACGAATAGACTTATCTTCACTACCAGATGCTAATATAATACCATCAGAAGAGAAACAAACTTATGAAACACGATCACTATGACCATCAAATTTTGCTTCTTATTATCCAGTCTTTATATCCCATAGACAGATAGATTTATCTGCACTACCAGATGCTAATGTAGAACCATCAAGAGAGAGGCTTATTGATTAGACGTAACCAACATGGCCATCTAATTTTGCTTTTTATTATCCTGTCTGAACATCCCATAAACATATTGGGTTATCATAACTACCGGATGCTAATGTATTATTATCAGGAGAGAAACTTACTGATTGGACATAACCAACATGACCATCCAACTTTGCCTTTTATTATCCTGTCTTAACATCCCATATTCGGATGGACTAATCTGCACTACCAGATGCTAAGGTAGCTCCATCAGGCGAGACACATACTTACGATACCCATTCACTATGTCCATCTAATTTTAATTTTTATAGTCCTGTCTTAACATCCCATAACCTGATAGATTTATCACTGCTACCAGATGCTAGTGTCTTACCATCATGAGAGAAACATACTTAATTGACATAACTAGTATGACCATTTAAATTCGCTTTTTAATGTCCTGTCTTAACATCCCATATTCTGATGGACTGATCTCCACTACTAGATGCTAATATAGTACCATCAGGAGAGAAGCATACTGATAAGATTTCACCTTCATGACCATAAAATTTTACTTGCGTTTTTCTTGTCATAAAATCCCATAAAATGATAGAGTTATCATCACTACCAGATGCTAATGTATTGCCATCAGGAGAAAAACATACTGAAAGGACTCTATTACTATGACCATCTAGTTTTTATTTTTATTGTCCTGTCTTAACCCCCCATATTTTTATAGATTAATCTCCACTACCAGATGCTAAAATCGTGCCATCAGGAGAGAAGGATACGGATTGGACACAACTACTATGACCATCTAATTAGATTTTTTGTTATCCAGTCTTCACTTCAAATATTCTTATAGACTGATCTCCACTACCTGACGCTATTAGAGTACCATCAGGAGAAAAGCATACTGAATTGACGTAATTTGTATGCCAAATTTATTTATGTAATTCATGGATACTTAAGTGTTTCCATTTACAATTAAACAATATAGCTCCATTTAAATTCACTCCGCTAATATCCACGTTATAAAATTCAGAACCACTCAAATACATCTAACAAAATTAGCTCCCAAAAAATTAGTATTTTTAATCTTAATGCCTTCAAAACATTATTATGTCAGATCAATCTTCATTTATACTTGTAAATAAAGTGAATTAGATCCACATTATATAAATTGATCATCAATAACTGTTAGGTGAACTAAAAATTTTAAAAATTCGAAGATCATCTAATCTTTTTCTATTTTCTTAATTAATTCCTGTTTAGTTTTAAGGTATTTTTAAGTGGAATAGTCATTTTAATTAAAATCATGATCTTTAATTTTTTGAGAGCTTTAGTAATTAACTTAATGTTATTTCTTACAAGATTTAACTTCAATTCTTTATCAACTATTTATAAATTCTCTACTTGTAACAGTTTTCTTCCACAATGCCTATGATTTTCATCATTTTAAAGAAATTCAAGACAATCTGATATTTTTTCCTTTCTGAAAATTTCAATTATCATGTTGAATACTTATTTATCAATATCTTTTGGGGTAGCTAAAATCTCCTATAAATCTTCAATCTATTCAAAAAGGATTTTCATCATCTTTTTTTTTAAAAAATATATTAAATTTCTCATACTTTTTTTTCTGTTTTATACTGAGAATCAATAAAGATTTTTGTATTATTTTTGTAGAGAAGAACTAATATTGTAAAGATTTTCAGTTGATTGTAATTGTTATTAAATATCATAATGAGAAATCAATTAAATCTTTGCATAGCTTGATTCTTAAAAAATATGGAATAAATCACTATTGTATTAATTGAAACTATGAATAATTATTTTGTTAGATTTTTGCATAAAAGTTATTAATCATTTTTTTCTTGTTTTCTTGTTACCCCTTCTACAAATTTTATTTTTATTATAATTATTACCAGAAAATGAAAGCTAATTCTAGTTAACCTTCTTAAATCTCTTTAATTTTGAATATATCGAATACTATTGGATAGAGTATAGGATTTAAGGTAAAATTTATTAATAATTCTTTTTGTTAGTAAGAATAATCATCTTGAAATAATAAATTTTATTTAAGTGGCACATACATTATTTATCATAAATTGTGATAATTAAAATTGTCTATTTCAATCATTCATCCATTTTATCAATATAATTAGGATAAAGTATTGATAGAGTTGCTATCCAATACAAATTGAAAAATATAAGATAATAAATTCTCTGAATAACATTTTTGTGACTTAAAAACAATTTTTATTACAGAGATTAAATTTTATTTGTATAAGCCCTCCCTAATAAAGTACTTTAGGACTGTTAATATTTTGATAACAATAATCTATATCAATCTGTTTTCTAGGAATCTCTAAGGTTTTATTTTATAAAATAAATCTTATGAAAAATGAAATATTATTATTAATTAAAATTTTTAAGGATTACATTTCAATTATGTCCATCTACAATATTTCAACTAACTGAAAACATTGAAATTAATCATATTTAATTAGTCTGTTAAATACTTACATATTATTACTTTACAATCAAAAGTATGAACTAGAAGGTATTCTAATTAAGAGTTTTACTAAGTAGCGTTCTGATTTAAGCTTGATTATACTCTTTAAAATTATGTACAAAATAAGCCTCAATTAGTTTTATGAAATGGCACAGGACCATAATAAATTTAAACCAGCCCTTCACTAATAGGGCATTATAAAATGGGGTGAATCTCATACTTTACAAAAACTCCAGCCTTATAAACTCTTCAAAAACAATCGTAATGGCATACTAATCTCTTAAGCTCTACTATATCATTCGAAACCTCTTTCTTTTTACTGGCTAATCTTTCCACAATTTCCTCTGGCAAAAATTTACTCAGATTCATGGGTAATTCTTACAACAGAATGAAGTCTGTTCCTATTCAATTACTAACAGGTCTTCAATTCACAAAGATAATACCTACTTATTATAAACGAGACTTTCGTCATTCAACTTTATAATGTATATAATAGAACCTTCTTTTTGAAGGGTTTCAAATTGCTAGAATGCTGATTATATTTAGACTGCTTTTTTTATGTGCTTGTTAGAGCTCTTCATAAGTAGGTCTAATTTTTATTCGGCATCCAGGATAAAATTGGACATTCTCATTATAATTTAAAATAATAATAGAAATTACTATTTTTTTAAATACATCATAAAATATTTAAATAGATTTAATAAGATTTAGTAATAAATACAAGAAAAATAAATAGAGAAAGGATCTAATTTCAACTAATTTTTTAGACGCAATAATTGTTAAATATTTTAAATGAGTTGAAAGTTTTATCGTCCTTTAAAATTTTAATATTTTTGAACTTGTGAGTAGGGTTCACTTTTGGGACTCTAAGTTTTTCTTGTTCCTCAAACCTCCTTCTTCCCTCTGTCGAAATAAATTTTATCGGAATGCTGATATTCGCAGGAATGGAATGTCAAAAGAAGAATCCTTATGTCCTGGCTTTAATTTCTTTTGTAGGTAAGCCTTTCAATATGTGGTGCAAACATCTGAGTACAGCATAAGATAGTCGCTGTTCATTCTTTTGTTCGATACCAGAAATAACAAGTATAAAGAAGAAGAAGAAGTGGATATCGACTTTATGTGAATCTAATTATTTTAAACTCACAATGAAAAAAAAATTGTGTTAAATAGACAACTTTCTCGAATATTTTAAAACATAATTAATAAATGATAGTAAATCTCGACTTTCTGAAAGAGATATACTATTACAATATTAGAAAAAAGAATATTTGAATGCACAACATTACATCTCAGAGATGTGACCTTCTTCAAAATCTTATATCTTGAATCCAATCCCTCTTTTTGTGATAATTGATTATATGGATCTTTAATCATTTTTCAAAAATTATATAAATCTTCGAATTAAGAATCTTTAATTGTGAAAAAAGAATTTTTAAATTTAATTAAGGGATAAGTTTCGATGCCAAAAAAGTCTTTATAGATGACTACGGTGTGACTTAATAAAAATGTGTCAAACAAAATGGTGAAGTAATTTCCATAAAACATAAAAGCTTGATTTTGAGAAAAAAGTCAAAATTTATTCAAAATCATTCTGATATAAAAATTGATGCAAATAAATAGGCATAGTTTCATCAGTTATTTGAAACCTGAAGTTATTTTGGAAATGGATTTAATTAAAAAAATTTACTAGTTGATATTTTCATTTAGTGTTCAATGATAAGTGTTTATTGTTTTTCTTCAAATAGAAATGCTGAATAAAATACTAAATTTACAAATAATAAAAACACTGAATATGCTTTTCGAAGATTAGGAATAGATAAATTTTGTAATAATACTTATTTAGTATTAGTAAATAAATTCATTTTAACATTTATTTTTAAAGACAAAGATATTATTAAATTTGTATAAAATGAGGAAAAGAATAATTGAAAATTGGATAGCAAAAAAATATAAAGATAAATTAAAAATTTACTATTCTGTATTTCTTTTGAAATGATGGTTCCATAATCTTTAATTTAAAATAGAAGAAAGGAAATGAAAAAATCTAAATTAATTAATAAAAATTAATTAAATTTTTTAAACAGTATAGAATAAGTTTTTTTAAATAATATTATTTGCAATTTTCTAATTTAACTAATTAGTGACAATGAGATCAATTTTTTTTCAGCTCCTCTTTTTAACAAGGCTAATACAATATGTAGAATTCAAAATTGCCGTTTAACTTCCAACTACAATTTAACCAACCATTCCAAAATTTTCTTATCAGAAATCATTACCCTTAACAAAACTAAATCATATAACAGAAAATACCTCAAGAAAAGAATAGAAAAAGTTATAAAATCGAAAGATTAGATATAGAAATGAGGCTGACTTAATGATTATTGATTAGTTTATAAAATATGTTAAATAAATAAATTATAATTTTGCAACTTTCAATGTCTTAAATATGATTGGTTTAACTAAGAAAATTATTTAAGAACAGTTAAGAATTTAATGCATCCAATTTTTTTCTCTTATATATCTCATTTAATATTAAATCAACTTATATCACTTGAAGTAAACCTAATTGATTAGATTATCTTCATGATGATTACTATTTCTTCATTAATTTCTATTTCATTCTCCTTAAAACAGTTAATTTTATTGTTGATAATAAAAATATTTAATAAATTCAATAAAATTTTTTTGTCTTTCCCTCTTTTAATTCAATTGAGAGATTTATTCAACTAAACTATAACAAAAATGAATATTTATAATTCGATTATTTCATCAAAAAGAAATATTTTGATAATTAATACAATTATGTTGAATTTTTAAATTGCCAAAACAGTCTTCATTTAAACAATTAATAATTTATATGAATAGCACCTCACATATATTGTTGTTTTTTCATATCTAAAAGAAAGATTTTATTCAATAAGGTAATATAACAATCAAAAAAATACTATTAAATATAGTCTCATTTATAATATATAGTATTTAATATTATTGAAAAAAATTTTAGACATTTAAATTATGTTGTAATATGATTTAGATTCTAAAATTCATCTAAATGCCTATTTATATTTCATAAATGAAACATAATTAATACTCTAAATTTGATAAATACCTAATAATGGTAATTTAATTATACATAGATCTTCTAATTTATTTCAATTTTAAATTATATTAATACGCTTAAAAATCAACATCAAATCATTTCAATATTGTCTCAAACTACTCAAGAAAAATTTATTTATCAGACTTCATAGTTAAATTAGAAACTAATAGCAATATTAATATTGAGAGTTTTTGTTCTAATAATTGTATAAAGTTTTATCAATCAAACAAACAAAAACTAATAGTCGAAAATTTTAATTTAATTAATTTTCCTTTCAATAATGATGATAATTTTGCAATGGAAAAAAAAAATTTATTATAAGATTTTCATAATCACAAGAAAATATAAACCCAAAAGCCTCCTTCTAATAAGTAGCTGAAAGGTAAGTATCGACGAAAATAATAATAAATTTTTTTCATTAACTTTACAGCCAAATCATTGAGGCAGGCAGCAGAAGTGATTATTTGATGTTATAAATATTTAACTTTTATAAATCAAAATCCAACTTTTTTTAATGATTTACTATTGAATAGATATTTTGATTTATTTCTAATATTTCAAGCTAATTAAATAACTGATGAATTGAACGATGCAAATTAAGTGAATTCAAGCTGTTTCTTCTATTTAAAAATTAATTTAAAGTGTTCCATACTTTTTCAATAGAGTTGAGTTAGGGTGAGTACGGTGGAAGAAATAAAAATCGCACTGCACCGAAAAGTTGTTGAATTTTTGTTTTCTTATGGACAGGATTATTATCAAATATGTAAATAAAGTTATGATCTTAATAGTTATTTTTTTTATCACTTTTTGAAAATAGAGGCTTCTTATTACTATTATTGCATTAGGGGTTAGTTGATATTCTGTATTGTNAACAAAAATGAATATTTATAATTCGATTATTTCATCAAAAAGAAATATTTTGATAATTAATACAATTATGTTGAATTTTTAAATTGCCAAAACAGTCTTCATTTAAACAAT